TTAACACATGTTTTGCTATACACATGTTTATTCCCTTTGTATGTATTGGAACAAATATAAAACAGAGGCAGAAAAGCAAATATGACATAATGTCACACAAAACCCCAAAAATGGGCTGGACAAAAGTATTGGCACCCTTAACTTAATATTTGGTTGCACACCCTTTGGAAAACATAACTGAAATCAGTCGCTTCCTATAACCATCAATAAGCTTCTGACACCTCTCACCCGGAATTTTGGACCACTCTTCCTTTGCAAACAGCTCCAGGTCTCTCTTATTGGAAGGACACCTTTTCCCAACAGCAATTTTAAGATCTCTCCACAGGTGTTCAATGGGATTTAGATCTGGGCTCATTGCTGGCCACTTCAGAACTCTCCAGCGCTTCTTTGCCATCCATTTCTGAGTGCTTTTTGACGTATGTTTGGGGTCATTGTCCTGCTGGAAGACCCAGGATCTTGGACGCAAACCCAGCTTTCTGACACTGGGCCCTACAGTGCGACCCAAAATCCTTTGGTAATCCTCAGATTTCATGATGCCTTGCACACAGTCAAGGCACCCAGTGCCAGAGGCAGCAAAACAACCCCAAAACATCATTGAACCTCCACCATATTTTACCGTAGGTACTGTGTTTTGTTCTTTGTAGGCCTCATTCCGTTTTCGGTAAACAGTAGAATGATGTGCTTTACCGAAAAGCTCTATCTTGGTCTCATCTGTCCACAAGACGTTTTCCCAGAAGGCTTTTGGCTTACTCAAGTACATTTTGGCAAACTGTAGTCTTGCTTTTTTATGTCTCTGTGTCAGCAGTGGGGTCCTCCTGGGTCTCCTGCCATAGCGTTTCATTTCATTTAAATGTCGACGGATAGTTTCGCGCTGACACTGATGCTCCCTGAGCCTGCAGGACAGCTTGAATGTCTTTGGAACATGTTTGGGGCTGCTTATCCACCATCCGGACTATTCTGCGTTGCAATCTTTCATCAATTTTCCTCATCCGTCCACGACCAGGGAGATTAGCTACAGTGCCATGGGTTGCAAACTTCTTGATAATGTTGCGCACTGTGGACAAAGGCAAATCTAGTTCTCTGGAGATGGACTTGTAACCTTGAGATTGTTGATATTTTGCCACAATTTTGGTTCTCAGGTCCTCAGACAGTTCTCGTCTCCTCTTTCTGTTGTCCATGCTTTGTGTGGCACAGACAGACACACAATGCAAAGGTTAAGTGAACGTCTCTCCTTTTTATCTGCTTTCAGGTGTGATTTCTATATTGCCCACACCTGTTACTTGCCCCAGGTGAGTTTACAGGAGCATCACATGCTTGTAACATTCTTATTTATCCGCAGTTGTGAAAGGGTGCCAATACTTTTGTCCAGCCCATTTTTGGAGGTTTGTGTGACATTATGTCGAATTTGCTTTCTTTCCTCCCTTTTTTTGTTTTGTCCCAATACACACAAAGGGAATAAAACATGTGTATAGCAAAACATGTGTTAATGCAATACGTTTCGTGAGAAATACATGATTTCCTGGAGAAATATCAAGGGTGCCAACAATTTCGGCCATGACTGTATATATATACACACATATACATACATACATAGGGGATCGAAAGTTTGGGCACCCCAGCTAAAAATTTGTATTAATGTGCATAAAGAAGCCAAGGAAAGATGGAAAAATCTCCAAAAGGCATCAAATTACAGATTAGACATTCTTATAATATGTCAACAAAAGTTAGATTTTATTTCCATCATTTACACTTTCAAAATAACAGAAAACAAAAAAATGGCGTCTGCAAAAGTTTGGGCACCCTGCAGAGTTAATATCTTGTACTGCCCCCTTTGGCAAGTATCACAGCTTGTAAACGCTTTTTGTAGCCAGCCAAGAGTCTTTCAATTCTTGTTTGAGGTATCTTTGCCCATTCTTCCTTACAAAAGTCTTCCAGTTCTTTGAGATTTCTGGACTGTCTGTCACGCACTGCTCTTTTAAGGTCTATCCATAGGTTTTCAATTATGTTGAGGTCAGGAGATTGTGAAGGCCATGGCAAAACCTTCAGTTTACGCCTCTTGATGTAATCCCCCGTGGATTTCGAGGTGTGTTTAGGATCATTATCCATTTGTAGAAGCCATCCTCTCTTTAACTTCAGCTTTTTCACAGATGGCATCAAGTTACCATCCAAAATTTGCTGAAATTTTATTGAATCCATTTTTCCTTCTACTCGTGAGATGTTCCCTGTGCCACTGGCTGCAACACAACCCCAAAGCATGATTGATCCAACCCCATGTTTAACAGTTGGACAGAGGTTCTTTTCATTAAATTCTGTGCCCCTTCTTCTCCAAACGTACCTTTGCTCATTCCGGCCAAAAAGTTCAATTTTAACCTCATCGGTCCACAGAACTTGTTTCCAAAATGCATCAGGCTTGTCTATATGTTCATTTGCAAAGTTCAAACAATGATTTTTGTGGTGAGGACGTAGAAGAGGTTTTCTTCTGATGACTCTTCCGTGAAGACCATATTTGTACAAGTATCTCTTTATAGTGGAATAGTGTACCACAACTCCAGTGTCTGCTAGATCTTTCTGGAGGGATCGTGCAGTCAAACGTGGGTTTTGAATTGTTTTTCTCACAATCCTGCGAGCTGTTCTGTCTGATATTTTTCTTGGTCTTCCAGATCTTGCTTTAACTTCCACTGTTCCTGGTGACTGCCATTTCTTAATTACATTCCGAACAGAGGATATTGACATCTGAAACCGCTTTGCTATCTTCTTATATCCTTCTCCAGCTTTGTGAGCGTCAACTATTTTCAGTTTCAGTTTTCTAGACAACTGCTTAGAAGAACCCATGGTGCTGATTGTTGGGGCAAGATCAGATGAGTCTGGGCATTTAAAACCTTTGAGATTGACATCACCTGGTCTTCCCAGATGATGACTGAGAACAATCCATGACACTGGCAGGTCTCAGCTTTGCAAAGGGGGCAGTGCATGCTATAAATTCTGCAGGGTGCCCAAACTTTTGCAGACGCCATTTTTTTGTTTTCTGTTATTTTGAAAGTGTAAATGATGGAAATAAAATCTAACTTTTGTTGACATATTATAAGAATGTCTAATCTGTAATTTGATGCCTTTTGGAGATTTTTCCATCTTTCCTTGGCTTCTTTATGCACATTAATACAAATTTTTAGCTGGGGTGCCCAAACTTTCGATCCCCACTGTACATATATACACACACACACTGCATGTTGAAATGCATTTTTATTACAAAATATATGAAAAATATTTTTAAAAATACATTTCAAATATACTGTATGTCTTTAAAAATACAAATCTAAATTTTTGGAATGCATTTACAAACATATGTAAAAATATATAATAAAATTACTTTTTTATATGTTAAAAAAAATCTGCAGAATATATTTAAAAAAAAAATTGTTTTTAAAATATATTTCAAATATATTTTTCTGCCATGTGGGATGATCTGGAAGGATCCCCGACATAACTTTCTGGATCCACCCAGCTGCCTAAATGACAGCTGGTTCCACCATTCTGCGTGGGGCTGAGAGCAAGGGCCGACTGTGTCTGTCCCCTTCACTGTAGTAAGCGCTGGTGCAGCAGAATGGGGAGCGGTGACTTACAGTTACTGCTCTCTGCTTTGAGCAGATCAAGAACTGAGCAATCATGTGATCACTCAGTGTTGATGAGGCACAGCTACAGCACAGGAGTTGTGTAAGAAGGTTTATATTTTTTTAAAACCCCAATCTTCTGCTTTAATCAGCACTGAGCATCACCCGTAACTCCTCCCTAGCCTGCTAATCCTGTCATGGTAAAAGCCATGACAGCAATGGACAAAAGTGAAGCTGTCCTTCTAGAAACTAATGCGAATATAATCTGACTGTTTCCCCTAGTCATCATCTAAACTGACCTAAAAACGTGAAATCTGTTTGCCCTGCCCAACCTTTTACAACTACACACAGACAAATAGATTTATGCTTGTTATTATAGGTTTATGTCCCTACTATATATCCCACACAGATAATCAGCATGGAAATCACCGGAATCCCCAACAGTGCAGATTTAAAAGATTAAATGAAATGTCAACGGGGTGTTCAATAGACTGATCTCAATAATCCCCTTCTGAACCTTAAAGCCCTCACTGAAAAACTGAGCCACCAGGCTTACATAAATGTATTCATTTTTTAATCCATTTAGATGTTTTCCTATTTTGATGAATGGATTGGTCATACAGCAAGCATGTGACTACTGGTCTAAATTTCTGCAAATTTTGGGCCACAAAACCTGATTGGGTATGCACACCTTGCAGCCTTGTAGCGACACCCTCAGTGGCTTCACCCTACTATCAGCTATGGTTTTCCAATCATACCAGGCGGTAAACCAGGCTTCTGGTTTTTCAATCTTGAGTTTTCTAGATCATAAATCTGCTTAGTATCTACCCTTTATGAGCTTATGGCCATTGACAAATGCAGCTTGCGTTTGAAAACAGTTCAAGATACTTCTGAGATCTTTTCATGTAAATTTAACCTGTAGTTGACCTTCTTCTGACCTGAACTTTACTCCTTTTAAATCAGTCACGCTCAACCAGGATTCAGTGGAACTCTACAGTTTCTCCAGCAGTTGGTAGGGATTCCCTTGAGCAATTAATTTCTGCCTTTCAGATAAGTAACTATTGGCACTAATGCTGATTTCATCTGTAAAGAGGGACATTCTTCTCACTGACTTTCAGTAAAAGGATCATTCTTCCCACTGACCACCAATGTAAGGGTCATTCTTCCCACTGGTGACCAATGTATGGGTCATTCTTCCCACTGGTGACCAATGTATGGGTCATTCTTCCCACTGGTGACCAATGTATGGGTCATTCTTCCCACTGGTGACCAATGTATGGGTCATTCTTCCCACTGGTGACCAATGTATGGGTCATTCTTCCCACTGGTGACCAATGTATGGGTGATTCTTCCCACTGGTGACCAATGTACAGACCAATGTATGGGTCATTCTTCCCACTGACTACCAATGTAAGGCACATTCTTCCCACTGACCACCAATATAAGACACATTCTTTCCACTGACCACCAATATAAGAGACATTCTTCCCACTGACCACCAATGTAAGGGGCATTCTTCCCACTGACCACCAATGTAAGGGGCATTCTTCCTATTGACCACCAATGTAAGGGACCTTCTTCCCACTGAAGTCCAATCTATGGGTCATTCTTCCCACTGATGACCAATGTAAGGGCATTCTTCACATTGACCACCAATGTGAAGGACATTCTTTCCACTGATGACCAATGTAAGGAGTATTCTTCCCACTGATGACCAATGTAAGGAACATTCTTCCCACTGATGACCAATGTATGTGGCATTCTTCCCACTGATGACCAATGTACGTGGCATTCTTCCCACTGATGACCAATGTAAGGGACATTCTTCCCACTGATGACCAATGTATGTGGCATTCTTCCCACTGATGACGAATGTAAGGGTCATTCTTCCCCCTGACCACTGATGTAAGGGGCATTCTTCCCATTGGCTACCAATACAAGAAGGCTCTTCTCAATCTTCTGGGATGCATGACACCCGCTGTCACTCAACCCAGAAGACTGAGGAGAAGACTGTAAATGCAGAGGCATCACAATTCACAGAATTTTGGTACAAAGAGCAGGACTAATACCATGACTGCTCAGAGAAGGCTGAAGAGGAAGGAGACCTAACATGTTACATCTCCATCCTGAAAACTTATAAAAGAAAAATAAAAGCACTGAGTTGGGCATTAAAATGGCTTGGCAGGACAGCAACAGCGCAATTTGCACCCTGTGCCTTCAACACCCCTACTGCAGATCTGCACTTTGGAGGATAATGTAATGCCCATTTTTATTGAACTGGGTATTGTATGCTATGTTTTATATCCTAATGAGGTCACAAGTGGAGGCTTACATAACCAGGGGGTTAAGCATGGCTGGAATTGCACCTATTCACTAACATGGCATTAGTGGTGGTTCAACCTAACGAAGAACACTTCATTCGTGGCTATTACATCTATGGAAAAGCAGCTTCTCAGCTCTGAAAAGCACACAGCTGGACTGAATTGTATGATCGGCCACATCAAAGTGTAACATTTTATTACTCAAAATAAAGTGGAGTCTGAGACATAAATGACTTGTTTTCTCGTGACACACAAATCATGACATTGTCTAATGTGTCACTGGAGAACCATTAATATTTTCTGGCTCCCTGTTATGTGGGAATGTTTTGCTTTTAGACTTATTGAGCAAGTCTAGGTTCGACAGAGTGATATACAAGGCTTAGAAAAGAGGAGGTTGCCAATGCAAAGTTCTCTTTATTAAAAATGCTAGTTGCCTGGCGGTCATGTTGCTGTCCAGTGAGCAAGCAGGAAAATACAGGAAGCAAAACTGGATGAATAGAATAACAAATCATTTGGCAGATGAAATCATATTTGTATTTGAACTTTGGATCTGGCGGTTTGCCTGGAGTTCTTCTTTAATTCTATTTTTCTAAGCAATGAAAAGGGAGGCCATTAAATGCTGCCCACAGGCCATAGGCTAAGCTTAACCCTTTTGCTGCCAAAGCCGTATTTTGCGTTTTTCTTTTTTGGCACACATGCACAAAAATCATTTTAGGCCTGAAGATTGCATATACCCCCACAACATTATATATTTTCTGAAAGCAGACACCCTGGAGAATAAAATAGTGGGAGTTCAGATTTTTTGTGTTCCACAATATTACTACAAAGGTCTAGGAAATTAAAAATTTCAGTAAAAAATACACCAAAGTTAATTTTAGGGCACACAAACGCAATAGATTACTCATTTTTGGCAAAACATAAAATCTGAGGTTGCACTAAGTAAACAAATATCCAATATGTTAAACCTTAACTTTGCATGTTCCTGTGAAATGGTGACAAACCTTAGTACCCTATATGTTCTATAGGCAAATCTTTAAAAGACCCTATAGGTCATGAATTTAATGTTACAGAGGTGGTCGGGTGCTAGAAATTTTGCTCTCACTCCAGCATGCACAGTGATATGTAACATGTACAGTTGTGTTCAAAATAATAGCAGTCAGACATCACTAACCGGATCAATCACTGTTTTTGGTAGAAATGATATTTTCTACATGGCAAATAATTTACTAGCAGGTGTAGTAGAGTAATAGAAATCCAACACACCCAACAGTCATGACATGGCATGCTGCTGATTCTGTGTAATTGAATCACTAATTGAAAGGGGCATGTTCAAAATAATAGCAGTGTGGAGTTCTATTAGTGAGGTCATTCGTTCTTTGAAAAACAGGTGGCAATTATTGCCCTTATTTAAGGAAGGAAGGCAGCAAATGTTGTACATGCTGGTTACAGTGCATTCTCTCTGAAATTCTGAGGAAAATGGGTCGTTCCAGACATTGTTCAGAAGAACAGTGTACCTTGTTGAAAAAGTGGATTGGAGAGGGGAAAACATAAAGAAGTGCAGAAAATGATAGGCTGCTCAGCTAAAATGATCGCAAAGGCTTAAAAATGGCAACCAAAACCTGAAAGACGAGGAAGATGCAAAAAAACTACCATTCGAATGGATAGAAAAATAGCCAAAATGGCAAGGACTCAGCCAACAATCAGCTCCAGGAAGATCAAAGAAGGTGTAAAGTTCCCTGTGAGTACTGTTACAATTAGAAGACGCCTATGTGAAGCCAAGCTATCTGCAAGAAGCCCCCGCAAAGTCCCACTGTTGAAAAAAAGACATGTGCTGAAGAGGTTACAATTTGCCAAAGAGCACATTGACTGGCCTAAAGAGAAATGGTGCAACATTTTGTGGACTGATGAAAGTAAGATTGTTCTTTTTGGGTCTAGTGGGCGGAGACAGTTTGTCAGACGACCCCCAAACACTGAATTCAAGCCACAGTACACTGTGAAGACAGTGAAGCATGGTGGTGCAAGCATCATGATATGGGGATGTTTCTCATACTACGGTGTTGGGCCTATATATCGTATACCAGGGATCATGGATCAGTTTGAATACATCAGAATACTTGAAGAGGTCATGCTGCCTTATGCTGAGAGGAAATGCCCTTGAAATGGGTGTTCCAACAAGACAACGACCCCAAACACACCAGTAAACGTGCAACATCTTGGTTCCAGACCACAAGATTGATGTTATGGAGTGGCCAGCCCAATCCCCGGATCTTAATCCAATAGAAAACTTGTGGGGGTGACATCAAAAATGCAGTTTCTGAGGCAAAACCAAGAAATGGAGAAGAACTGTGGAATGTCGTCCAATCATCCTGGGCTGGAATACCTGTCACAGGGGCCAGAAGTTGGGTGACTCCATGCAACACAGATGTACAGCAGTTCTCAGAAACAGTGCGACTACAACCAAATATTCATGAAGTGATTCTAAGGAAAGCAAAATCTTCAAACATTTTTCAGTTTATATAGTGAATGTTTGAGTTTGTAAAGAAGAATACAAACACTGCTATTTTTTTTGAACAGTCTAATATTCACTTTTCTTCAATTTTTTTTTAGAGGAACAACACAAATGTGATCTATTTTTCTTCATGTTTTGATTTGGAATAGAATGTGTCGTGTTCCCAATGCATATGTGTGGATGGAAATAAAAGCTATTAGAAGGATTTTGAGCTTTATTCACTTTTTTCAACACACTGCTATTATTTTGAACACAACTGTACATGTTCATTACAGTACAACTGACACTTTTTATGCTTAGGTGCCCCCAGCAAGCGTGTTCACATTCGTACATGCGTGTGTACATGTGGGGGTAGGGGGGCCTTAAAAAGATGGGGTTTTTTTTTTGGGGGGGGGGGTTATATGCTTGGGTGCAACTTACATTTTGTACAATTAAAACATTTTTTTTTTTTACTTACCTTTTTTTTCAATCACATGATTTTTTGATGACACTTTCTTTAATGAGACAACCAGGGTCTGAAATACCCTGGATGTCTCCCCTGTGCTTCACTTAATGCAATGTACTCAAGTTGAAATACATTCTTTCCTGGCAGAACAAGTACCCAAAATAAATGTCAGAGTGCTGGCTGTAATCCTAGACATTGCCTTCACATCCCAAAACTTTTCTAAAGTGCACCCCTTCTTAACCATTGACACCACCAAGATACCAATTCATTGAATTGTATTCAATTGTTATCTCTTGCCTCAACTACTGCAACTCTCTCCTCTTTGGCCTACATCTGCACAGGCTATTCCCACGCAGTGGGAATGCTGCTGCTAGACTCATCTACCTTACCAACCACTCTGTTTCTGCTTCCACATCTCCCAATCTTTCCACTGGCTTCCCATCACTCAACAAATAAAATTCAAAATACTAAATTATGAAGTCATCTGTAATTCTGTCCCAAGCTGCCTGAAAAGACTTTGCAGTGCCACTCCAAGCATGTAATGTGTAAAGTTTTCCCCTCAGTCCTCACAAGTAGGGGGTGTCGGCGTTTGAGGAGCACATCCAGCAGTGGTAATGACCAGCATCAGTAACGTCGGTCTCAACCCATCAGAAGTGTATTAGATGGCCTCAGCCAATGCTCCTCCGCTGACCATGCCCCAACACGTTTCGCCCTACCCACCAGGGCTTAATCATAGAGATTCCCAGGATACATTACCAACCTCATCTCAAAATATCAACCAAACCATTCTGTTCACTCTCAAGACCTCCCACTCTTTAGCTCCCTCATCACCTCCTCCCATGCTCACCTGCAGGACTTTTCCAAGGCCTATCCCATCCTCTGGAGCCCCCCAATCTGTAAGGCTATCTCAGACTCATCTTTTTGGAGAAGCCTATCCCACCTCTACCTAACAACTGAAATGTTACCTTCTCATACAACCCTATAAGTTTATTACCTTTTGTATCACTTTTCCCTCCCTTTTAGATTGTAAGCTTACAGGAGCAGAACCCTCCCAACCCTCGTCTTGAATTGTATTGCAACTGTACTGTTTCCTTTTATTTTGTAAAGAGCTGTTCAATCTGCTGGCACTATACAAGTCTCGTATAATCTTAATAATAATGATAGTGTATATACATTTAGTAGAGTAACTGGTCCTCTTTAAAAGTTCGCTTTTAGACACAACATGTGCTATGGATGGAGTTTCCATTTGGATTTTGCAAATCCCATTCCTGAATGTTAATAACAACATGAGATGTTCATGAACATAGTAAACTTGCAGAGTCTTGTTAAGAGTGCCATCAGCCAAACCAGGTGCCAAAATACATAGGTGTGGAAGGCAGTTGCAGCACAACATTCACTACAAACACCAACACTGACCTAGATAGATTTGTTCAGTACAAATATTTCGGCACTTGCTATCCTTGTGCATTAAAGAGGTCTTCCACATTAAAGAGGACAGAAGAGCATTTTCATTGAGGGTGTGTTCCTAAAGCAGTATTAAACCCAAAAATGTAATATATTGCAGCTTACCACACATTAGATGTGGTGGCTGCATTAGTTTTTTTTTTTTTTCCCCTCTGTTTTTAAATTGGTGATCTGGCCAGTAACACC